CTATTTTAAAGGAGGCGGTGCGATGTGCTGGGATGTGCTGCTCTTGACACTGAGGGGCATGCTGGCCTTGTGACAGGGAACTCACTGGGGTGGGTGGTGCCTGTCATGGGTGCCCCGCTTGAGGGCAGGAGTGTGTGCATGGCCCAAGTCCAACCAGAGCCTGGGTGATTTCCTCCTCTATGCAGAACTGCCCCATGAAGTCCAGAGTTACAAGCCAGCCCCAGAGTGCCATCGGCCCCCAGCAGGCGCTTGCTCCCACCCCCAAGGCAAAACACCTGGCCGCTGGGCTCCAGGGGACCCTCTTCTATCTTTGGCACTATCAGCTGCTTCCCCTCTCACCTCTTCCTCCCCCATCAGTGTCTGGGGCCACCGCCTGGGGGCTTGTGATGGCAGCAACTGTCCTCAGGTTTGGATGCTGGAAGCTCAAAACAGAGGGATGGCGGGGCCCTGCTCCCTCCTACCCTAAGGGAGAACCCTGCTTTCCTGGTGGCTGCCCTGCCTCTGCCCCTAGGGATGTCAGCTCTCAACCCTGGAGCTGACCAAAGGGCCTGCACCTGCCTCAGCCCGAGGGCAGCTGTCTACTGGCCCCTCCCCTGTCCCCATGTGTTCTTTTCTTTCACAAGGACACTGCGGTTGGATATAGGGATGTGGCTGGGGCAGGGAGACAGAGGCCCAGCAACCCCGAAAGTCTGGGGGCTCTCACATCATAGTGCTCCTGGGGCACTGCCGTCGCTCAGCCGGGAGCTGAGTCCTTATGTTGCTGGAACCTTCTCCGCTCTCCAGCAGCTATCACTTTGGGGGTCTGCCCTGGTTAGCCGGAAGCCTGACCCTGTGCCGAGGTTGCTGCCCCAACTGCGGGAGCCCTGCCAGCTGTGGGGCGGGCACTCAGTGTGGCCTCCCTGTGTCTGTGCCCGCTTGGACCTCCAGTTCCACCTGACTGGCCTTGGATTGGCGCAGGTCTTGGGACTCCAAGCTCTGGCGTGCTTGCCTGCAGCACCCTGCCCTATCACAGCTGCCTGGATCTGACCAGTCCCCTGCCCACCACCCCTGCCCCTGTGTGCTTCCCCTCCAGGGGCCCCAGGCAAGTGACTTCAACTTGCAGGTGGCCACACCCAGCCCTTGGGTTTCTCTGGATGCTTCCCTTTGTTGGCTTATCTGTGTTCACCTTGTTTTTTGTGAGTGAGTTACAGTCATGCATAATGTCGGGTCATCTTGACAGTGTCCTAAGCACGAGGAGTATGATGGCTCCACTTCAGCCCCAGTCTCCTCTTCCTGTCCCCTCCCTGCCTTCTCCTGTCCTCCTCTCCCGGTCTTCCTCTGCCCCTTGTTTCCACTGGCTCACAGGGACCTCACTGTGGTCCCTGCATCCCACAGCCCCTCCCCCTCCCCCTCCCGGGCTCTGCTGATCTCCCTCCTGTTTCCAGGGACCCCTCCCCACTCTGTCCAGCTCTGTGGCCTGCTCTTGCAGAGGCTTGTTAACCTCAAAGCACTTAAGCCACGCTACAGTCTCAGAGCCACTTAGGACCAGGAACCCCTGCCCTGGCTGGGCCACGCTCATCCTCACCCACCCTGCCAACCAGAAGAGCCAAGAACAGGGCCAGTCCTGCTGGGAGGGGCCAGCACTTGCTGCACCCCACTGGCCTGGTGGCACTGTCCCCGCAGCCCCACCCCAACCTGCCCTCACCTCACAGCATGCTCTTGCTGCACTGGGACTGGGTCCTCCCTCCTGGGTCTGCCTGAGGCAGCTGTGCACCGTGCCTCTCTGTGCCTACCACTGCCTGTCCCTGCAGAACTGCAGTCATGGCCGAGTGGGCACGTCACGGCCTGCCGGCACCGGCCCTCCCACAGTGCTTCTCCCGGCCCTGCTCTGGCCTGCTCTGGCCTGCGTCTCCCCATGTTTGACCTGAGCTGGCTTCTTGCCACCACTCTAGTCTATGGCCAGAAAGGCAGGGATGTGGTCATGAGTACGGGCACACGTGTGTGAGCATGTGTGTGAAGGTGCGTGTGAGCTCCGATGAGTGTGTGTGCACACCTGCAGCTCAGCCTCTCCTCCTCAGCCCACTTCATTACAACATCCAGATGCAAGCAGGCAGGACTTCCTACTTGAAGACCTGAGAGACAAACAAGTCACCACTCTGCCCTGTTGCCGGCAAGGGCCAGGGTCCTGTCCCAGGCCTAGTTCTGTCCCCTTCTGCTGCCCTTCCACCTGCCATGCTTCCTCTGGCTCTTTTGCAGGTGGAGAGGATGAGGGGTGAGAACGCCACCAAGGTCGGCACCTTCATCCTGCTGGGCTTCCCCACGGCCCCCAGGCTGCAGTACGTGCTCTTCCTCCTCTTCCTGCTCACCTACCTCTTTGTCCTGGTGGAGAACCTGGCCATCATCCTCACAGTCTGGAGCAGCGCCTCCCTCCACAGGCCCATGTACTACTTTCTGGGCACCATGTCAACCCTGGAGATCTGGTACGTGTCCGACATCATCCCCAAGATGCTGGACGGCTTCCTCCTGCAGCGGAAGCGCATCTCCTTCGTGGGGTGCATGACTCAGCTCTACTTCTTCAGCTCCCTGGTGTGCACCGAGTGCGTGCTCCTGGCCTCCATGGCCTACGACCGCTACGTGGCCATCTGCCACCCACTGCGCTACCAAGTCATCATGACCACGGGGCTGTGTGTCCAGCTGGTGGCCTTCTCCTTTGCCAGTGGCTTCACCATCTCTGTGATCAAGGTCTACTTCATCTCCAGCGCCACCTTCTGTGGCTCCAACGTCCTGAACCACTTCTTCTGTGACATCTCGCCCATCCTCAAGCTGGCCTGCACAGACTTCTCCACTGCAGAGCTGGTGGACTTCGTCCTGGCCTTCCTCATCCTGGTGTTCCCACTCCTGGCCACCATCCTCTCCTACGGGCACATCTCGCTGGCCGTCCTGCGCATCCCCTCGGCCACGGGCCGTTGGAGGGCCTTCTCCACCTGTGCCTCCCACCTCACCGTTGTCACCATCTTTTACATGGCCATGATCTTCATGTACGTCCGTCCCCAGGCCATCGACTCCCGGAGCTCCAACAAGCTCATCTCTGCTGTGTACACAGTCCTCACGCCCATGATAAACCCCTTGATCTACTGCCTGAGGAACAAGGAGTTTAAGGAGGCCCTGCGGAAGGCCCTGGGCCGGGGTCGGGGTCTACAGCAGGATAGTCATGTTGCCTAGAACCTGATGTTTCCTATGGCAACTCATGCTCTCTAAATCATCAATGAGATTTTACAAACCTCCTCACCTATTCACAATAAAGAGCCTTCACCTTGGTGTGTGTTCAGAACAGGGCCACACTCTTGCAACCGGCTCCCCAAGGGACCGAGAATTAGATGCTTCCTGCCCTGTAGTCATTGTCCCTGCCCCAAGAGAACCACTGCCCTGACTTCTAGAGCCAGATGCTAGTTTGGGTGTTTTGAGGTTTTTATGAGTGGGACCACAAAGCATTCGCACTTTACATCCAGCTTCTTGGTTCATCATGATGCCTGTGTGAGTCCTTGATGTCCTGCCCTTAGTGAGAATCCATGCACCACACTGCTGTCTCATCATCACGTGTGTGTGACAAGGCATGCATGCATTTTACTGTTGATGGGCAGTGTTATGGGTACTGCCTATTATGGAGAGTGCTACTGTGAGCATTCTGGTTTACGTCCATGCAGTTTTACAAACTACCCAAACTACCTAGGAGAGACCTAGTCATACAGGCTGTATCTATGATTGCTGCAACGTGAAGTATACATATGGTCAGGTTTAGCAGAAACTGCAAAACTATTTTCCAAAGTGGTATACCAAAGTGGCGTCCATTAGAGGTGCCGGAGAACTGTAGTAGCTCCATATCCCTGCCAACACTTAGTAGTACATGTAGTTTTCAATTTAGCTATTCTTCTGGGGTGGTGTGGGGTGGTGACGGTATCTCACTTTGACTTGAACTTGCCTTTCCCCAGTGACAAGTGCCATTGAGTACCTTTGTGGCACCTAGTGGGTTACAGTCCTTTTGGATACAACCCAGGAAGTACCCATAATACTGTCTATGCCTCTTCATGTCTTCTACCTACTTTCACATGGGTTTCTTCACACACAGGGGTCACATGCTCTGGGGTCCAGGCCTCTGGTGGCTGCGTTTATGCAGAAATCCCTCAGTTGGTGGGCTTGCATTTGTGTCCTCCAACGGTGCCTCTAATGAAGAGAGGTTCTGTCATTCCATGTCCAGTGTCTGGATCCCCCTTTATAGTTATTTTCCATTTAAGACACGTTTGCCCTCCCCCTCGGGCATGAAGATATTCTCTTGCTTCATTTTAGAAGGCTTTTTGTCTTGTTTTTCATGTTTGAATATGATTTTCCTTTATGGGCTGAGATGACCCACTGGTTGCTCCGTGGAGTGACACTAACCTGCTCCCACACCCCTTTCCCTCTGCACTATACCCTGTCAGTAAACCCAGAGTGCATGTCTATGGATCATAGTGCTTGGCGTCTCTCCTGGACCACTACTAGCGCTGTCCGCTGCAGCACCTGTGGCCATTACTGTAGTTCTACCATTAACTTTCATGTCCCTCAGCATGTTCTCCACCCACGTTCTTTTGTTCAAGATTGCCTTGGTTGTTCTTAGCTCCTCCCAAGAGGTGGATATATATTTTAGAATCTGCTCATCACTGTCAACAAAAGAAAAGCTTGTTGGAATTTTACTGGGATTATGTTGAATCTAAAGATCAGTCTAGAGATGAGCGTCATCGTTACAGTATCAAGACCTTCCACCTACGAAGGCACATCCCTCTCTTTGTGCACAGCTTCTTCAGTTTCTCAATGTTACTTTGTAGTTTTTCAGTATAGGGCTCTTTCAGGTCATCCTAGTATTTGAATATTTTAACACAAATAGTACCTTTTAAATTTTAAAACTTTATATTATTTTATGCTGGGACATATAATACATGTTTTAAAGCTTTCTTTTGGACATAATGATATATTTACAGGAAGTTGCAAAGAACCACACCGGGTGCACCCTGCCCATTACCAGATCTCCCCAAACGGCATTGTCTTGCAGGATGTGGTGCAAGTGCTGCCAGTCCCAGGACACTGACCATGGTACAGCCTGCCAGGCTTATTCAGGTGCCACCAGTCACACACGCACTCGTGTGTGCACAAGTGTAAGTGCACTATGGCTCTGTAGACGGCCCCCTGCTAGCCTCTGGCCACCATGATTTGTTCTCCTCCACATGTTGTTATTTCAAGGATGTGATGCAGAAGGAACCTCGCCCCCAGCCCTGGAGACTGGCCTGTTGTCACTTCACCCATTCAGCTGCAGGCACTGCTCTGTGAATCCATCATCTGTTTTTTCTGCTGAGCAGCATCCCACAGTGTGGCCTGCCACAGGGTGCTGACCCTCATAGCTGAAGGACAGGGGAGTGGCTCCGGTTTTCCACTGCTATGGGGGGAAGTGCTGGGAACATGGCTGCACATTTCTCAGAGAACCTACATTCTCATTTCTCTGGGGTAAATGCTGACTTGTGTGGTAAATCCGTTCAGATTAAAGGAAACTTGCATATTCTTCACCAGGGCAGCTACCCCCTTTCCCATTGTCATGAGGCCTGTGGGATGAACCATCTTCTCTGCATCTTCCCAGCATCTGTTGCTTTGTTTTTATTTTGGCCTGTGCTACATTTGTACTAATATCTCCTTGTGGATTCAGCTGACATTTCTCCTACGACCACTGAGGCTGAGGACGTCTTCCTGTGCTTATCTGCCGTCCGAATATCCTCTACGGTGCAGTGCTTGTTCACGTCCTTCCAGGTGTTCTAACTGGATTGCTCATTTCTTCCCGTTGCTTGGGGTGTTCTTTACGCACTCCAGATCCAGGTCCTTGGTCAGGTGTGTCTGCAGCGCTTTCTTCCTGTCTATAGCTTGTCTTCTCATCCTCCAAAGAGCATCTCTCAGCGGGAATTTTTGATTTTGATGAGGTCCAATGTTTCCTTTTACAAATCACATTTTTAATATCAAATCTAGGAAATCTTTCCCTAGTCTCAAACCGTTACCCTCTCTTTCCCCAGAAGTCTGGTAGTTGGCTTTTGTTGGTTTTAGGAGTGAAGTTCACATCCAGGTACATTTCCCTGTGGCCACCTTTCATTGAACTTCATTTGCACTGTTGTCAAATGTTGATTGAGAATACATGTGATTCATTTCTAGTTGCTGTGCTCTTTCATTGATCCATGTGTCTATGAGCAGGCGGCCCCTATCAATACATGTTCTTGATGGATGTGGTTATATGGTAAACCTTAACGCTGGGCCACCGATGACTTCACCTTTTCCCCCAAATTATTGTGGCAAGGCCTTTATATGTCCACATAAATTTTGTAAGTTTGTCTATGCGTATAGAAAACCTTGCCGATGTCAGGATGGTAATCCCATATAACCTACACATAGATGTGGAAAGCACGGACAATGCCTGTGGCCTTGTGACCATGAAGAGAAGTGCAGTCTGAGGTTTTCTCTGAGTCTTTCACCAATGTTTTATACTTCTCAGCAAGCAGGCCCGTGCATTGCATTTTATTTGGAGCCAACTTCCATTTCCGTTGTTCACAGAATGCTACGCTGCTGTGTGACTTTGTGTTTGTCTTTTATCTTACACCCTTGCTGAACTCACCTATTAGCTCTGGGAGATCTTTTATAGATTCCTTTGGGTTTTCTGTGTAAACAATCGTGTCCTCTACAAACGAAGACAGTTTTTTTGCTTATTTTCCAATATGTGTGCATTTCACGTCTTTTTTCCCCCTTTGGACTTGAGTGTAGATCTGGCAGGATCCTGCGCACCCGGGCCAGGGTCGCAGGGCATGGCCCTTCTCCCTAGTGCTCAGGTAGAACCCGGGCAGCGAGGGGTCACACTCCTCCACAGCCCTAGCCCATCCCGAAACCGGCAGCGAGCCCCGGCCTCCACAGAGAGCCCGCCAGACTTCCCAGCACACCTTTCGCCCGGGCCCCGCCCCTTCCGCCCGGACCCGCCCCTTCCGCCTGGACCCGCCGCCCCTTCCGCCTTCTGCAGTCTGACAGGCGCCGCGGGCACCCCTGTTGTGACGTCACGGCGGCGCGCCGGCCTCAGGAGAGGACCCCTATGCGACCGCGTCCCTTCGGTCCTTGAGCCTGGTCCTTGAGCCTGAGTCCAGCGCGTAGCGATGGCCTTGAGGCTGCTGAGACTAGTCCCGGCGTCCGCGTCCGCGCGTGGCCTGGCGGGGGGCGCCCCGCGCGTGGTGAGGCGGCGGGGCAGTGGGCAGCCTGGCGGGGCAGTGGGCAGCCCGGCGGGCCGGGTCGGGTCTCTGCGCGGCGGCTCCGGGACCGCTCTGCGGCGGGGTCCTGCTGCCCGCAGCATCCTCCGTGGCGGTCCCCAGCGCGGCCAGCCTGGTCGCAGCCGCCGGCGGAGCGCGGCGCAGACGCGCGGCCCTGAGGCGGCGGCTCGCCGGGTCCTGAGCTCACCAGCAGCTTTGGGGGGGCCTTGGGAAGGGTCAGGCCCCGGGCGGGGGCCGTCACGAAGAGGACAGCTGGGTGAGATTCGGAAGCACGAGGGAGACTTCCCACGGTGGGGGTCAGGGAGGTGACCTCGGACGTGGAGAGGACAGGGGCAAAGGAACCGTGGCTGCAGTCGCAGGAAACCTTTGGTGGACTTTGGGTGCCGGAGGCTCTGGGCCATGGCTTTAAAGGGGCTTGGCCGCGAGCCGAGGGATGGAGCGTGAGCAGAGGGGGTGCCGGTCTGATCAGGAGGAGAGAGGCGGCTGGCTGTCCTGCTGTTGTGGGCCTGTGAGGGGGAGCCAGGCGCCCAGAGAGCCCGGACCCGCACTGTAACCTGGGCCCGGTGCCCAGCTGTGGCGGCGCGTTCTCTGGGGCGCTTCAGATTGAACACGGTGTAGGGTATCCTCAGTGGTCAGGAGGACGTGTGCAAGGGGAAAAGGAGGTCTGTGTTGGACTTGAGGGACAATTAAAGGAATCGAAAACGGTTTATGAAAAGTCGGTTATTTGTGTTATTCTGGGCAGCAGGAGAATGGAGTCAAGGATGCTTGTCAAACTAGTCTCCTGTGCGTGGACCGTAGGTGGCCAGGTTTTGCTGTAGAGGCATTACTCCAGTGAATGTCTTTGATGTATATAACCCTCTTCCCATTTTGCTGCTGTGGATGTGTGTCTATGTGTAACTTACAAAA